AATAATTTCGAAACTCTGTTTAAATACGTAGCAAAAATACTTTTGCTTTATCGACAATCTCACTGAAGAATGTGAATTGGGAAACGACCTGGTCTTACTTGAAATTCACATCTTGCCTTTGAACCAAGGGCACCAGTGGTCAACGTGTCAAGCTCCCATTCTTCACTGTCACGGTTCGACTCCCGCTGGGGGTTATGATGAGACCTAGGCGAGGTCATAACTGCAGTCCACTTCCGCCTGAATGAGAACACCTTTGGGAAAGCAAAGCTATGTGAAATGGAATGGAAACGTCAGTTCTACTCACATGATTGTGGGAGAATTCAATTACCGGTCCTCCATTATCTCATATTCTCATTCCAGATGAAGTGAACTGCAGTTTCAAACTCGCCTGAACTGGTCTTATCCGCATCCTCGGCGGGAATCGAACCATGACAATGCCGCGTACAGACTCGACAAGTTAACTACTACACCACATTGCCACGAGTACCGTTGGGCCACAGGACAGATGTCAAATCCAACTGCTAGCCCCTTAATCACCTTAAATGAAATTGAGGGAATACTTATAGAGGAAAAATAAAATCTAACCCAATGTTGGCGAGTCATTTTGTTTCATCTTCACTTTTTATATCTAAAACAATGTAAACGTCAATTCATCTATTCATGCTAAAACCCAGACTGTTACCAACCTCTTCCGTTGGCCCGTCTTTCGAGGAAAGCTCTGGAGATGTGTGTCCCTCCGGCGATGGTTTCAGCGCATTTGAGATACACCGTCCATTCGATAGAGCAAGTGGTTTCTGCTGCTGCAGACCAGTCAATGAGGTCGAATGCGACATCACCATCGAAGAGAGGCCATTCTTCGGACCGTCTGAATGACCGTTGAAAGCCGGCACTTGTGGAACGGAGGCAAAGCTCAATCCAGTCGTCGAAATGGAGTTTGACGCCGGCGCAAACCGTCGCAGAGTATAGTAGAGCTCGGGAACCGCGAAAGCGCCGCCAGACTGTGGCTCAACTGGGCCGAGTCCTGCGGACTCAGAAGCGGTCCACGCCGATCGGTTGCCGACTCCTCTCGACGCAGAGCCCGAACTTACAGCAGCTG